TTTTTTTTTTTTTAATATTTCAGTTTATTTCTATGTTGCAGTTGTTATTGTGCACTTTATTCCGTTATGTTTTACCTATTGCGTTATTTTTCATTATTCCGTTATTTTTTACCTTCTGTAGAAGGGAACAGTCATCGGCCTGTATTAAAATACAATAATTATATCGTAGTTTGACAATCGTGTCATATTTAAAATATGATATTTATATAGTGCTTCTGTTTCAGTAATGAATTCCTTAAAATAATCTATGTTTTCGATTTTGACTCGAATTTTTTTTTAACGAGTGTACTCATCTCAGGTCAAAGTCGAACATGTTCATGAAGCATCAAAACTACTGAGCAAGTCGATTGTCCGTGTTGAGCAACCAGATATTGTCTTACAGGACGATGATGCACTTTTATTGGACGAGGTACTTTTTTCTGGCTTAAGCGCGTCTTGCAGACAAGTTGCATTTGCTTCGGTACGAGTTTTGCAAATATTTGGATGATGCTTTTTCATAAGCCGTAAGTTTAGATGGAAGCGGTGGTGGAACAAGATGCTGGAGCAGGTGTAGGCCCGTTGCGTGAACGAAACGAGGAGCCGAGCGAAGCGCCAGCAAGGAGGGGTGCTGACGAAGCAACAAAGAAGGTTGATTCTGGAAAACTGAAAATAAAGTTAGCCATTTTTACATTAGTTTGTAAAATAATCCGTTTAAAAAAAAGGATTGATTTTCTTCAAATTTTTAAAACTCATTCCGAATAAATTTGCAGGTTTGAGCTGTACAAGCAAATAGCCGACATGTTAGTACTGCATATCAGACACGATGAAGAAGTAGAAGGAGTTGTTGAATCGTGGGAAGGCGTGCGTCAATCCCAGCTCATATCGTGGTTGATTTTTGATCATATTTTGAATCGCCTCGTTTGATTTTTTGTAATTTGAAAAATTCAGTGTATTGTACAGGTCAAGCACTGTGAAATTTCTAGCAGTTTATTCTTCAGGTATATGGATATGATTGGTGAAACGATTGAGACAGAGGAAGAATATAACACTCAAAAGACAATTTGTGAGCGTGTAATAAAGCGTCTGATCTATGACGACAATGTTTTAATTCAGCTGAATGCTGACACCGATGAAGATCCAGTTGTGGTTGTTCACCCCAATTATGTGGTTGGCGATGAGTGAAATGAAAATCGCTCCACTGAGTAAATGCCGTACTTTCGGTAGGCAAACTTTAGTGACCAAAAATTTAGTGCTGAAAAGACCTATGGCCGGAATGACGTGCATTTGAGAAACTTTACGTAAACTTCTCACTTACCTCAGGAAAAAGCTCCTCTCATTTGCTTGATTGTACCTATTATGCGTTTTCTGCATCTATGCAATGCAAAAAACGCATATTGACGAAGGGTTGTCTGTGTGTGTGTCTGTGTGCGAGCTCTGCGTCTGTGCCGATTTTTTATCTCGAGATCTGCAAAAGCTACAGGGTTGAAACTTAATCTATACGGATTTAGGGGCCTCCATCCCCAAAATGGGCGATCTTACCCGCGTGGTACCCATGTACGGGCTCGTGAATGTTTTTTGCGGATAAGTTGCTAACTTGGAACCAGAAGAGCTAGAAAGCTGAAATTTTAAGAGGATATACCTCATCCAGGTAGACACTGATGACTTCAAACCCAGTCCACGCGTATGCGTAGTTCCCACGTACGGGCCCGTGAAGATTTTTTCGGGTAAGTTGCTGACTCGAAAACCAAGGAAGATAGAAAGCTGAAATTTTAAAGGAATGTTTCCAGACAGCCCTGTTGGCTAGTCTCAGTCCTCTTAATTTAACTAGAAGCATTTGCCGGAAGAATCGGTGTTGGTAGCGACAGAAACTGCGGGGAACTATGCAAAAAATGCACCTTTACACCAGCAGTCGATATGCTGGCCATTTATTGTTGTTGTGTTGATTTGTTATTTTTAATACACTGCTATGTTTTTACTTTGCTGTGGTGCTAAATTTTATTGAGAAGATCGATTTCTAAAGCGGTAACAAACGGCCAAAGAGTATCTGATTTTTTGTGGTCTGTCATATCCAGGGTCTTGGTTTAATCGGTTTAATTTCGGGCTATTTACTGTTTGGGGTGTGTACACCAAGAAACAACTGCTGTGTTGATGCTGAGAAACTGGTCAGCACGGCCAGCAGTTTGTTGTTCCATGCACAGCATCCGTACAAGCAGAGATTTCTGAAGATTGCCCGTTTAATAACCCAAATTCGAGGCATTCACATTTCTCCGTCCAATGTCCGTCAGGATATTTTGCCTTGAAGTAAAGTTTTGTAACGCCTGCGCGAGCAGGCAGCACACTTTGAAAATACTGAAATCATCAGTCCAATAAGCAAATTCGGCAGACTGCATATTATATGGGTTGCATATTTTTTATTGTTTACTGGAAAAATGAAAGAACCTCACTTCTCTTCATATTTTATTACAAAACGTTCCTGCACTTATGCGTTAATTGCTCATGCATCACTCGGAACCGGGGAGCTCAACGTCAACAACAGCAGCTTCAGAATCAGTATTTTCTGACATCGAACTGCGGCGTGAATCTGCAAGATTGTTTTCAATACAAGGCTTTTTCTGTTCAGCCATCTTTGCGAATCACTCGAAAAATATCTTTTAAAAAAAGTTTTTTTTTTTT